TACTACTACTACTACTACTACTACTACTACTACTACTACTACTACTATATACTACTACTACTACTACTACTACTACCACTACCACTACCACTACCACTACCACTACCACGGCCACGGCCACGGCTACGATTACAACTACGAAAAACAGTACGACTAGGAAACGGACTACGACTGCGGCTACGACTACGACTACGACATCATCATTATTGAAGAATGGTGTTCAAACATGCCAAATACCTACAGCACCTTGGACGCCGATACTGTGCGCGATTAAAATATCTATCATTAAGAGTTTTGCCTGAGGCAACTTATCGTTGGAGGAAAGTGCACGTCAGGTCTACAAAAATGCACCTCGGAAAATGCATGTTGACAAGGTGCTTTGATCTAGTGTGTGTTGACAAGGTGCTTTGATCTAGAGTGCATGTGTTGGCGCACGTGCTAGAGGGTGTCTTACCATGACTGAGCGTCAGGAGATTCCTGCTTGTGATTGCGTTGGGCGGTGTGGTCTTGGGCAGGTGAGGGCAATAGTGATTGGATCTAGCAATCTAGCTGGTAGCTACTAGCTAGCTAGCCAGCCAGCAAAGCCGGCCATAGCCATAGCCACTTGGACTCTGGACCTAGGACCACTCTGACTCTGGAGTCCAGACCCCAGACTGGACCAGGACCAAGACCTGGGACCAGGACCTGGACCACTCACCCCAGACCCCCAAACCAACGTGCATTTTGGGGGGCACACAAAACCACGTGCAAAAAACATGCATTTGTTGGGAGGTTTGATTTAAAAACAAAACAACATATATTTTGCAATGTTGCATGTTTGTCAGCAACTGGAATGTGATTGTAAAAAACACGCACACAAATGCATTCTACAGTGCAAAATGCATGTTTTTGGCTGGGCCTCCAAAAGCAATGTCAGGTGGTTTTTGAAAAAACATACATTGTACACTGTCTGTAAAGTACATGTTTTTTTCAAAATCACTAATCACACCTCCAACAAATGCATGTTTTTTGCCCGTGGTTTTTCGTGCCCCAAAAAAGATGCACGTTGGTTTGGGTAGGGTCTGGGGTGAGTGGTCTAGGTCCTAGGTCCTGATGTAGTCTACAATCTAGAGTCTAGGTCCTGTCCTAGTTCCAGGAGTGGCTGGCAGCTGGTGTGAGTTCTTGGTTTTGGTTCCTGGTGGGGTGGATGACGGGTTTGGATCAGGCCATGGTACCTGGTAGGTAGGTGTTTTTTGGCACAGCCAAACGTGTCTTTGTCTGGTGTCTGTTTCTGTTGGCAAACCAAACGCGTTTGTTTCATATTTAATGAGTTCATTGAGCCTGTGGACATTCTGGATGACACACTGTTCCCAAAAGTTCAGCCTGTGCACATTCCGACAAAGTTGAGCCTTTGTGCACATACTGGATGACACACTGTTCCAGACAGTAAAAAGCATGCATGTTTAACATGCAGAAAATATGCATATTTTGGATTTATCTTGAAAAGACTCGGTTGTCTTAGCTAAACTCTTAAATCTATCATATCATATGTCATATGTCCATCTAGACTTGTACAATTTAATCAACCTCTGGACGCCACAGGCCGAATATCTTCAAGCTTCTATCAAACATGTGGTTGTTGAGCGTCGCAGGCTTGAAAAGCAGGCACCCCAGTTTCCGTTTGTTTCATTGGCCAATATGAGTGACCAATCATATTGTGGATGTTCTCTTGCACTCAAACCGAAACCGAACAGCCTTCCTCCACATCTGCTGAAACCACATGTGGCTCCGAAACTAGCTGAAAGGAATCAGCATTAATTAATTTATTTGCATGATAAGAGATATCATGAGATATCCGTGTATATCTGTGTATACCCGTGTATGTGGATTGAAAACAAAAAGCATGAAGAAAGCAGCTCTCAGCTATGTGTGTTACTGTATAACCATTTGAAAGTGCAAGAAGAAAAACACAGGGTGGAGAAGTATCTTGGCTGCTTGGTGTACCAATGGTACAGCGCCACAACCATTCATGGAAGTGTTGCGCTGTATACGAAACCCTTAATGCTCGTGTTTAAGTATGAAAAATACAAACGAATGTCGCTGTCTACACACGTGCAGTGTTCGCTGAGAGGCCAAGAAAAATATACCAGGTCCTTGTGATGTGTTTTTCTCGTCAGTCTCAAGTTACAAGATACTTCCTTTCTTGAAGACTTACCACGACATCTGACCTCCAGGCTGGGAGTAGATCCGGCAGCGGTAGACGCAGTGGCCTCAGGCTTAAGGCTTAGATCTCCCACGACCCCCCGACAATTCAGCCTGGTTCGGTGATTCGATCAGTGACTGTCCTTCGAGATGGGTTGTCAGTTGGACAAACTCCAAGCACTTTCAAGGTGCACTGTTGGTTTGTTCCTTCTCTGGATCGTCAGCACAAGTCCACGGCTCGAAGATTGCTGGTGGCTGGCGCAGACACAAAGTTGACGCCACTGAAGAGGGCAGCTGCACCTAGCATCTGATCTAAACGACGCTACATGTCAATCACTTCACATCCAAATGGTCTGGGATGACTCTAATATGGTGGCTTTTCAGGTACACTTGAAGAACAGACCATTATAATTCTTGAGAATGTGGGTGATACCATGCTCAAAAGGAACCTGCAGCGGCAGCAATGGTGGTCCGAGAAGTTGAGGACATCCTGGATGCAAGTCTCATACTGTAGGTGGTTCCAGGTCATGAAAATCAATCCGGACGTTGGACTTTGGACTATAGGTCCAAAATGTGTTCTGTGCTTCAGGTTTGTCCATTTCCACTGCATGTTCATGTCAATTACGCAGCAAGTCACAGAGCAAAAAGAATGAAATGCAGTCGATATGAGTTGTCTTTGTTTGCTCGCCTGAACGTACGAGATGTTACCGATGTTTGGAAAACGTTTTGCCGGTTCATTGCACGAGGTACTTGATAAGACTAATCTGTCTTTGTTTCGTTTAAACACACCAGATGCCGCTTCGTCCCAGGCACGTCTCTTCGAAAAATACGGCCAAAAATGTGAGCACCTTTCGCTCCCACAGCCTATCTTAAAAAGGCTCAAGCCAAAAAAGGTCAGGCAAGGCACGTATGCAACAAGTGAAACATTGAGAGGAGAATGCAAATGGTTGACATGAACATGCACTTGCTGGGTATTGTGGGAAAGTATGCTTCACACTCACAGCCTGCGGACGGTCTAGCACAACAGCCTCGAGTGTTGCTTGCGCACGTGGAAGAACAGCTTCCTATGCACCTCCTGGACCTTTCAAACCCAGGTCTGCTGGAGATTACTGGTATATGTGTTGCAACCGCATGTTCAACCGCCTTTGGCACATAATGTTCCTCCCTAACTTCTGTACCAGCAGGATCGGTGGACTCTTTTTATGGCAACTGAAAAGGCAGAAAGCCACTATCTACGGAGCCAAGCTCGCGCTTGAATTATTGGTTGTTCATTGGCACAATGGCATCTTCTATGAGCACGCCGGGTACGTTCCCACATTGGGCGCGCCGGCGGTGCATTGGGTGCGGCGACTCACAGGAACCTCCGCGCCACCTCGCTGCGCCGGGCTGCTGGCGTCTGAAGAATCCACCTTGGTCCGACGCAGGCCTCGCTATGCCCCTAGTAGCTTCTTGTTCCTACTAGTAAGGCACTTGTTACTAGAAGCGATGCACTTGTTACTAGTAGCTTCTTGTTCCTAGTCGTAAGAATGCTCCTAGTAGCGATGCCAGGAGCTAGTAGCGTCCTTGCTACTAGTAGCGATGCCCTTTGTTCGGAAGGACTTCCACGCCGGTGGCTTTCTGATCTTATTGTCAGTGGTTCACAGGAGCCCTGCTTTGAGATAGATCTTGACAAGCACTCCAAAGAGATCGTACTCAGTGCTCAACATCATTCCAAGCTGCTTCTTGCGCGCAGCCGCTGCTCGAGCTTTGAAGAAAGCTTGGCCGGCTTTAGGATTCTTCCTCCTCGCCGTGTGCCAGCCTTGCGAGTACACCTCGGCACAGCCCCCAACGAACGTGTTGCATCAATGTGACTCTCCAATTCCAAAAGCTCACATCGTCCCTCCTAAAAACACACACTGCTCACACTGAACTCCGGTTGGAAGCACTCGGTGCAATTGCTTCCGCAGCTCTTCATCCATCTTCGGCTGCTTCTTTGGTTGCTTTGTCTGCTTCTTCACTTTCGCAGCAGCCTGCGCAATGCAAGAAATAGATAGAAGCACCTCTGCAACTGCATGTGTTTAAATTGGGACCCTCCCGACTCCCAATCACCAGGTTCTTGATTGCTGAATCTGCTGTTCTCAGTGCTATTTTAGGAAAAAAGTACTCCTTTTGATGCACACCCCGAGCAAACATGGGCTGCAGCCGCCATTTTGTTGAGGCTCTTGGTTTGTCCATCCGGCCTTTGGCGCTTTCTTGACAGCTTTCTTGGCAACCGGCTTTTGGAAGACTCGCGCACGCTTGGGCTTAGGGATCTTGACCAGTGCTTGCCTGTCAAAAAAGTGCACTGAGAGCACGTCCATCGAAGTGCTGTGAGATCACATGTTTCCAATATGGACTCTCCAAAGCGCTTTCGGCTCAGCAAGTAGAGACACAAAAACGTTTGATGTCGTTTGTCCCTGCCACTGCTCGTGGTTCCGACTCTTTGCAGGCTCTGCTTGAGAGCAAAGCAGGGTCTTGTCACATTAGCTGTGGGGGCATTCATCCTATCACACGCTTCAGCCCTTTGGCCAAGCGCTGGAAGGGCCCAAAATGGCTCCATCAAGGCAGCGCCTTGCAGCGTCCGTCTGCTTGTCCTGCTCGTCCTCGTGCAACACCATTGCGGACTCGGCGATGTGAGGGGCTGGCGTGAGCCGGAGAGGCCTCAGCGGCCTGCATGCCTGCTTGTACTGCATGTCCTTGGATCTGCTCGTGGGAAACTCGAAGAGACAGAGAGAAAAGTAGAACTGTCAAAAACAGAACGGCTCCAAGCTACAGGAGAGAGGAGCGAAAGAGCCAGCTTCAGCCAAGAAAATTTACAAAAATTACAGATCTTACCTTACCTTATATAAGCACTGCCAGGGGTCCCTATAGCGCATGGTCTTGCAGCGTTGAATGTGGTCCTCACTGGGCCAGATCATTCCTGCTTGCTCCAACTCACGGGCGAGCTTGTCACGATGCGTGCGGCCCAGCTCCAAGGTCACAGCACGTGACACGTACCTCCGGTACTTGCGCTACCAGGGATGGACGTTGAGGAACGTTGAACAACGACAGAACGCAAGCCTCAACGAGACATGAATGCTTTTGCCTTCACCCAAAAGATGCAAAGCTGCCTGAAATCACGTCAAATCCGAGAGACCAAGTGATGGTAAAGCGTTCACATTGGCCGTCTTTGGGCGTCCACGCTTCCGGTTTGTGCAAGTAAAAGGCATTGAACTCTCTCATGATTCCATGGGTCTTCAGGACGACACCCACCACCTCTTCACCAGGTTCATAATCCTTGGCGGCCTTGGTGACCCTTTCAGAGACCTTCAAAACCTCTTCTCGGTCTTCTTCGTCTTCGTCCACCTACAATCCAAGTTCAGGGAGTATACTTCCAGTGAGCTTCCAAAGCTTTTTTTCATCCATGATCCATTTTAGTGGAAGCTTTGGCGGGTCGCCTGCCGGGGGTCTCCTTTGTACACAGGATCTTGCGGAAGCTGGCAGCCAATTACCAAAAAGGACATGTTCACTTCTCCGGATGGCCCTATGGACAGAACGACTACATCTCGTTCTATGTCTTGGAAAACTATCCACAGTATACAGTATATACGGGGTTTTGCAATCAAACACGAAAGACCGTATAGGTGTGAAAACTCTTTTTCCATGAGATTGGAGGCTAGTGTCCCTAGGAAAGCCTTGCCTGGCCATGCTTGTCAATATGCAAGCCGCCGCCACAGAAAGACCCCAGCGACATCAACATACCCAAACCTGCAGCGGGACGTCCACTGCGAATGCCCCAATCTGTTGGTGTTGGTGAGGTGTGGGTTGGCGCACCTGCTAAGCTATTAAAGATGTGTCTGCCTCAACTGATACCGCATTGTGCAAAAAAGGAATTAATGTTCATTCACATCGCCCAACTATAAAGACTCGACCTCTTCAAACAACATGTGGTCAATGTCCCCCTTGAAACCGATTCCGTAGGACATTGATGAACAAAACCTGCGATGCCATTCGCCAGGGGTCTGCAACAATGCTTCCTTCCACCCAAATCCGCCCAGCAAAAGTTGCACAAACACACCCTGCAAAACCGCGGAGCCCAGGTTGTCATCGGTCAATTTCCTGGCTTCGTTGACAAAGAAGAGATCCACGACCGTGTCCCACCCGTTTGCTTCATGGCGCAATTGCTTTCCCTAAAAAACAAATTTGAAGGCCTGCGGAGAATCTCAGTGGCCACGTCAAATGTGGCAACGGTGTCCGGTTTGACGTGAGGAGCCCACAGGCTCACAAGGTCACCAATCGAGACCCCAATGGGAACCTTTGAGGTCCTGTGAGGTCAACATTTGCGCTCTTTCGGCCAGTATTCAGCTATGCTCAACCAGGCTCCCATTCTTGTAGATAATCTCTTGAAGTACAGCAAGAAGCTGAAACAAACCAGTAGCAGTAGCCCCAATCAAGAAGCAAGCTCAAAAACAGACAAGAAAGGTCCAACCAGACCCTGGTCCACAACCTGCTCGCAATCTCTGCCCGCTCCTATGGAGACTACGGACTCCACGCATCAATTTGATCTCATTTCGTCCAGACCCTGCCCAAAGCCTGCAGACCAGGCTCAAATCCTTGCTGACAGTGATGGAAGTGAGGAAAGCCTGGACGCCAGCTTGCTCGCAGTGCCGTCGGAAGTAGGCCGTCAGAAGACCTCATCAAGAAGTGTGCCCCGAGCTTCTACCAGCGTGACGTTCAGGGTTGACCCATTGCCAAGTCCAAGTGCCTCATCTGGAAAAAGGGCCACATACATGAATTACAGTATCATCCAATTAGCCAAGCGTCGGACAAGGTACCTCGTGCGCCAGGAACGAACACTCTCGGGGGCGCTTTTCGCATTGAAAGTCTTTGACAGACAACAGCGGCCAATTGGCCAAGCCTGATTATAACGCATCCCAGGCACGGATTCTCTCGGAAGCCATTCGTGATCGAAGCATTCCCCTGCTGGCCAGTGGTGTATAGACCGAAGGTGACATCTGCTCCTTCTTCAATACATTTGCTTCCTGCAAGGCAGTTTTCCGTGCGTCCAACAACTGGTCAGTGCTGACACTTCTCGTCGCTGTGTGCAAAGAAGCAAACAAATCATGTAGTTGGAGAGAGATGCTGTGTAGAATCATAAGGTGTTTGATTGTTTCAACTGGATGTGGGAGTGAGGAAACTCTTGAGGTTGGCGACTAAAACTCTTCACTGAACCATACTACAATAATATTCAGCATCTTTCAAACTCCGGACACGTGACCTCGTCTTCTGCCAGGTCTGACCTTTCCCATCTTCAATTGCCTCAAGAAGTGGCATTCGAAGCCTTGGAACAAACAAAGTCCAGGCTCCTGCACCCGGTGTAAGACCAGGTGCGGATGGTCATTTGCATGCCAATAGGTACACAGCGTGTTGTGACGTCAATATCATTGGACACTGAAATTTGCCAGGGGGTTGCCCCACTCAAAGAAAGCATGGGAAAGTTGAATACGATGCAACGAAGTACGTATCGATTTAGCTTCCCTATCTGCTAAAACTAAATATTGTCATGAACACAGGGCAAGGGCACTTTAGACAACATCTCAACATATCTGCAGCATCTGTCATGTCTAGAGTCTAGAGTCCACAGTCCGAGCCTTAAAGCTTCCAGCAAAGCTCCTTGTGAGATCTTCCCCCACTCCAAGGCGTCTTTAGCAATTTCCTCTGATGGAGCCTCGCCCAAAAGAATCACGATGAGAGGCTTGTCTAGAGGACAAACCAGCTCTCTCATTGGGTTTGGTGCGGTTGTGTACTTGTTTGAGGCACTTTGTTCATGGACCAGCAAGGACTTGAAAGTTAACCAAGTACCATGGCTTTAACCGCCTCAAATAAATATCAATCGTCACTTAACCCTCACCGTTTTCCCCGCTTACACGTTACTGCAAACATCTTTGGTGTGAAAACTGCTCAATCAACATAGGCAATCGAAAGCTTGAACTTTGAGCTTCAGGGCTTTTAGACAGTTTGATGATTCTTTTTACTAAATACTAGCTGCTCAAGGGAACGCCTGGGGCACTCATCATTATTTTATCAACCCTGAAGTGATCCTTTTCCACAAAACGTCACCGCCCCGGTGACCCGCCCCCCTTGCGCACGGAAATTGGTCGTGCGGCCAAGGCATCGCCGAAGTTCAAGGTCACACCCCAGCGCTGCAGCCTTTCGCCCAGGTTGCTGGAAGACTTCTCAAACCAAACCGAGATGAACCATTTCTTGCTTTCGGTTTTCACATATTTTCGCTTGTTTTAACCAACTTGACTCGCCCTTGGGTGGAACCTTGACTCTTGGGGTAGATAAAATTAATAACTTCGCCTGAAAACCGCAAAGGAAGCGGGTCTTGCCACTCTGTGCTCAGTGCTAGAAAGGATGGGAACATTTCTTAGCCTGACCAATAAGAGGCGTTCAAAAAGCTGTAAGATCAGATGTGCAAACAGGTTGTTCATCATTTTTATAAACTCAAAAAATGATACAAAGTGATGTTGTTGTCGATGTTGATCCAAAGTTTGCCGAGAGGCTGCTCTTGCGAAACACGCTGTGAGAGCTGTTCCGCTTGCAATGCCAATGTGGCCCTCAGCGACAACAAACAAAAATGCCGAAAGTCCGGATGCCCTCCACAAACACCTGTCATTGTTGTCACTGTCGGCGGACCGGACCATATTATATTGGGAAACAACAACAACAACAACAACAACAACAACAACTCAATCTGCAGGTTGTTGGGAGGAAGGAGCCGCAAACAAAACCTTGATGGAGCCACTGACACCTCCAAAAAGCTGAATGTCCAGTCAACCCAAAAGCCCTACTATAGCTAGCGGACCAGTTCCACCCCCTGGCGAGAGCGCAGCCGTGTTGTCCACCTTGTACAAAAGCGGCTTCGTCAAGGCACCGACCAACTTCGGACTAAGAATGATACAACCTTTTGCACCAAGCAAATCCAGGTATTTGTCCCTGTGACCTCAACCTGACACAACTGGAGAAGCACAAACTGCAAGCTCGAAAAGGCCAACCAAACTGGCTAAACATCATCAGTTTATATGACTTACAGTGTACCACCTAGCTCCAAGTCCAAGTTTGACACAATTTCATCAATGCACAACACTACTCAAAACATGTTCATCAGCTCATCTGATTTCAAGCGTGGATGCACCATGAGTTGAAAATAATGTCGGCTAACTTTCTCCCAAAACGGCCACATAGACAATCCTGAGAGACCTCTCACACTTGACCCCTGGGAAAGAGACGTTGAAGAACTTCAGCTTCCCAGCGTCTGGCGATATCCGTCAACAATTTTTTGACAAAACGTTGCACCTCTTGTTGCTAAACAAGTGACACTTCATCTTCCAAATGACCCACACGCTTGCCAAACTCATCCAGGACGGATAGGGCAGCGTCAGGAAGCCTCGCTGTTTACTCTGACTCTTTTGTTAAGCTCTTCTGGGTGTCGACCTTGTTGCGCAATATGCACTAAAATCATTACTCCACCCACGCCGCCACACCCCTCCCCCAGGCCTTCCCAACAAGGAGGTCAAGTGCTGAAAGCTCTGCTTGAGCTTCTCATGCACATAGTCAACTCCTGCCTTCAGCTCAGCCCACCTCCGCTCGTGCTCCTCTAAGACCTGCAGGCAAAGACAAGGCGCTTGGCACATACGACATTTGGAAGTGTCAAGAATTGTAGCCATCGTTTGATCAAACACTCCCGGGTCATGAGTGACTGGTTGGAAATTCCACTGCTTTCTTGGAAGCAACTGTCTTTAGCTGATGTCGATGTGCCTCAGCTGCTGACTGTTGCTGAGTATGCCGCAAGCCCCCCCCCAATACTACAACATAGCATCACCACCAGCAACTCAAACTACTGAAGTGGATGTCAAAAGCTGTCTGTGATGTTGACGTCTTAACCTAACCAGACCCGCAAAACACAAAGGTCTACCACAAAAGAAGGACACGCAATGGGGCGCAATCTCCCGGAATTAGTTGGCCACCTGCCTCTCGTAGGACCTCCTCCGCCACCGCCAACTGCTCTGGGTTCGGCACGAAGGTGCTGCGTTTCGTAGCCTCCGGGCGTGAAATACCAAGGTGGATACAACTTGCTCTGCCAGCGGATATGACATCATGTCTCAGAGTCTCTAGTCTGCAGGCCTATTTACAAAGCTCTGACTGCCACAACACCCTGAGCCACTCAGCGTGGTTCGAATCTGCATACTTCTGCTCATCGGCTGGGCCTTAAACTCCTCGATGTAGCGTTCACTTGCTGAAACGGCGTCTTCCAAGTCCTGCCAAGCTTCAGAAATTTAGAGGTCTACCTACAATGTGTTTACAAAGCAACGCAACCCAGGAGGGTTCTCATGTCCTCCTTCAGGTTGGAACCACTAAAAAAGAGTCTTGCACCAACTTCATTCATTTCAAGAAGCGCACCCTGAGGAAGTCTACATGGGCGATTGGAGGTCGTGGTCTTTGCGGCATCCATTTCCTGCAAAACTGATGCAGCTGCAGTACCTGGCTTGTCTCCTCCTTCTCCCAAGACTCGCGCAAGTACTATATCACCATTGAGGGCTCTTTACATGACCTAGATTCATTGGCTGCCCAAGTGGCTTGCTTTACCCAAGACAGGGTTTCGACTCTTGCCACATTTTCCCACCAAAAAACAGCTTGTCTTCTAACCAATCATCATGCTAAGTCGCCCTCAAACAACCACACACACACACATTGAACTGCCAACAAGCTCCTTCAAATGCTGGCTCACCAGGTGGCTCACTGCGTCACCCAGTTCCTCTCCAGCCATTGATGCGCAGTAAGTGGCTCGTGCACACCGAACCGTGGCAGGCAGCAAAGGTGGTTGAACTCACATAGAGCAAATGAGAGCTAGCTCACACAGTGCCTGCAACGCCTGTCTGCAGGTCTTTTCCTGCTCAACCATACTGAGACAACCTTGTTTGCTGAGATTTAATAGTTCTGCGAAAATTATTTGCACCCAGAGGAAACTGTTGACTTACATTATATATAGCGGGTTTTGACCTCACTTGCAGCTCTAAAACCCGATGATTGGGCCAACGAAATAACCTACCGCCGTTAGAATGAGTCGTTTAAAAAACTGATTTGAGCCACACAGAGAATCGTTGCGGAATTTGGACACTGTCCAAAGAGCGGTCAAACACAGTTCTTTTGCAACCTCGGTTTTTGCTGTAGATTGCAGGTGCACACCCCACAAACCTCACATCCTCAAGTTCACACCGAACGCCACCATTGTGCAGCTCCCCAACTACACACAGGTCGACACCTGCGACAGATCCTCAACTTGGATCCTTTGGAGGAATGCGTTTTAAAAAGAGCAGCTTTTTTGAAGACGCTGGACGTTGCTCTCACTTTCCTCAAAAAATGCATTGAACACGTTTGTCATGGTCGCCCTCCTTGTGCTGTTGGTGATACAGTAACCCCTTCTTGTGCCTAGCCTCCGCTCTACAATTGAGCCTGTGATGACATTCAACTGTTCTTGGGCAGTTCTGCAGCAATTCAAGCAGGGTGTTGTGTTTCTCTTTGAAAACACCTGCACGTACCTCTTGCTACAGAGGGTTGCAAGAAAAGTTACACGCGCGTTTCCCGGAGGTTGGCTGGCTGTGGCTGTGATACAGTCAGTTGATAAAGAAACACTACATGCATACATTGCGCCTCCCGACCTAAAGGTTTGAACTCATGGCTTTGGGAGTTGTTGGCAACGCATTATATAAACTGTGTGTAGAACATGTTGGAAGTCCTGGTTGTGAGGAGTGTTGATGCCTGCTCAACGTCTTCGCTTTTGATTGCGTATTTTCGACCTCGCCGCTTTGCGTCATTCACCAACCTCCACATACGCTCCATTTGATGTTTCACCGCAGGTCACCGAAAATATCACACATCACGGCACATCACGCATCACATTGTGCAAAAACACTTACAGTATATAAAGCCTCAAATATGGCATGCCCGTCCCCGCAGATATAGCACGACAAAGATACACGCCGTGCGTTTGGCAACGGTGCAGTCACCCAAAGGCCGCGTCCGTCTCTCGCAGGGACAGCTCCCTTTTCGCAGTGCACCTGTTGAACAATTGTTGCTTGAAAACAGCCGTGGCAGAAGCTTTTGGTTTGTCATCAGAAGCACGCCACGACACACTATATTTCACAGAAAACCTTGGATTGTTTTCAACTTACGCGCGTGGTGTATGTCTTGGCTCCCCCACATGAAGCATACATTGCAAGCATTGTACTTTCATGTGAACAAATACCCTGCAAAACTCCATACTGATCGAATTTGATTTCACTCCGCCATGTGACACTTTGCACGACAACAGGTGTGGTCCAAACATTGATTTCAAAGCTTTGAGAAGCATTCAGTCTTGGTTCAGACAGCCGTTCCCTCTATTAGCCACATGCCGCCCCAAGCCAGCCTAGCTGGGGTGTGCATGTGCGGATGCCCTCACCATGGGTGTTTTGCTGGTGCATATCACAGCAACTTCCTCACCCCACCTTCCGCCGCTGCATTTTGCTCCTCTGTCAGGGGCCTGCTGTTGCTCGCCGCCACTCCTCGGCCTCCCCTGCCTTCTGTGGCTTTGTAAAGGGTCTGCTCCTGTTGGGGTCGGAACCCGCCGCTTCTCCGCTGAGTTCCGCTGCTCTGTACCAGGTCGACCTGCGTCGGGTTTGGTCGCTGCGGCTCTTCCGCTGGTGCTCTGAGCCTGCAGTTTACCTAAATTTGATCCCCGCTAAAATTTAGGGCGAGGAGTTGAGACTGTCATTTTGTAGGAAAAAACATGTTGGGCTCTACAAAATGGCACCTCCGAAAAAAGGCTACAAATTTATACCAAAAAGCATCTACGAATAAGCCTACTAAATGAGGTGCACAATGTCACTTTGTAGAAAGCGTGTGCACGTGAGTTGTCTACATAATGATGGGATCTCCCAAAAATCTCAGAAGTCAAAGCCTCATTTGAGACCCCTTGTCCGGAAAGTGAGACTTGTTTTTTTCATTTTGTAGACATGTGAATGTCTACAAAATCAATCAAAATAGAATGACATCTTGTCTACAAAATAGGCCTAGTCCTTTTGTGTCGAATGAATCTGAATAGTCTACAAAATGAAGCCTTGTGAAATCAGACCTCTTGTCTACAAAATGAGCCTGGTCCTTTTTGTACTCTTGGCATTTGAATAGTCTACAAAATGTGCTTCTCATCGTTTCATGTAGATTTCACACTGCTTGTCAAAGGCACAGACCTTGATTCAAGCCTAACAACTACAGTAGATGACCAGCAGATAGAATATACAACCATAGCGTTTCGCGGAATTGATTTTTTGCTCCGCGAGGCATAGCCGAGATAGAATATGAGTTTTTCCCATATGTGAGATAGAACTTGGAGAGTGGAGATGGAGATAGAAATTTGATAGGATGAGTAAAGAGTTTGAAAGGAGGATTGATAGAAAAAGTATCGGATTTTAAAGGAAAATTGATAGGACATGTAAAGGCCCTTACTATTTTGTTGGATGCCATTGCCATTAGGTTGAAGGCCATTACTATTTGGAGGGCATTGCCATGAGGTTGAAGACCATTGCTATCAGGTTGGAGGCCATCGCTGGTAGATTGGAGGCCAATGCTTTTAGGTTGGGGGCCATGGCTAGTAGGATGGAGGTCGTTGCTATTAGGTTGGATGTCACCACTGACACACTTAGTACTCATGATACCACAAATTCTATTTGCACATCGCTGCCGGATCCTGGGATTTAATTCCCGAAAGCATTGCGAAGGGTTCTTCCGGAAAACCCCTTGAACACGGACACTTCGACACTTAGACTCACACACTGACACTTCGACACTTACACTTACACACTGACACGTCCACACTTACACACACTCATGGATATGCGTACTGACTTGATAGCGGTGCCACCCGCC